TTATTACTCATATCTGGGCTATGGCTTGGTATTCTGGAGCATGAAGCCAAGGTGATCAGTTCATCATCTTATTCTACTCTGTATGCCAGGTACCCACAGTTGTTAGTGAAAGAGTAGTTGTTGGAACACAGACAAACCGTCTCCTCTGGTCTGCATTGGGATGTTCTTGAAAGTTCTGTGTCTCTTGGGGTATCTGCAGGAAGAGAATCCAAAATGCCAAGCTGGCAGCCGGAACCATGCAATCAACCATGCAAACCATGCAATCAATGTGCATAAAAAGGGGCGGGGCTTCAAAAGCATGGTTGTAGCTGTCATCATGACTTTTTGGACCCCCCTCCCTGCACACACCCCTGGGGTCTGTGTGAAGATCAGAAGGCTCATTCTAATTGGAAGCTCAGCTTGGAAAATAAGGGATCTAAACACACCTAATCCGGAGGCAAAGAAAAGTGTCTTTTGATCCCCTTTGCTGCAAAATCATTAATTCTTTTAAAAACACTTAATTCAGACTAGAAATCATTTTTAGAAAAGATTTTTGTTTTAAAGTGCCCAGTTTTGAACATGAAACACTTCCAGAAGTGTCAAATTGCTTCCAAAATGACTCAAGTAGCTTGTCTCAAACATGAAATAGCTGTTTTGAACCTAGAACCATTGTTTCACATTCATCTTCCATACTACTAATTCAGACTAATGAAACCGTGGTCAATAATTAAGACCTACACCAGCCATTGTTCTTCTTCCTTTGCTGCAATATCAAAACCTCATATTGTCGTAAAGGCCTTCCTCTTATGAAGCTAAATCCACAGGTAGACGAGCATTCAGTGAATATTAAAAGCTCTAGCGGCTGACTTCATTCACTCTTCTTTGAGTGCCAGCCTTCAATCAAGAGCTCTCATGAATGAGGCAGAGGTTGGCCCTTAGCTGCTGTCTTCTCACCAAGTGGTGAGGACAAGCTACACATTCCTGCATTCCCTTTCTGAGAGAAATATGGGAAATCAGAAGAGCAGCAATATCTTCATTCTTTCCTGGTGAGATTATGCACATATAATATGGGAGGTTGACCCTTGAGTTATTTGATTCCACCTGTGACAGCTACAGCTGACCTTTGGCAGAGTTGTAAATGACACTTTGCATATAGTTTATATCTTTCTAAACCAAGAAAAGCCAAGAACATCAGCCTGGGCAAGTTGTTGTCCTGGCTGGAATATGTGTTGGGAAGTGATACTTTCTGATTCTGGCGGATTTCAAAGATTTCACCTTCTATCAGGGACATTTGTAGAACAGGTCTAGATGAAGACTGTGATTGCACAATCAAAATCCTGCCCCCTTTTTATGTGTGTCGCATCAGCAGTGCACATAAAAAGGAATGGGGCTTTCATCACGCAGTCACAGCCACCATCTTGACTTTTTTGATTCCTCCGCCATGGATCCCCCAGTCTTCCATCATCCGTTGTCTTCAATATACAAAATGGGTGTGTGTGTGTGTGTGTGTGTATGTATATATGGATGACCGGCCTTACGTTACAGCGCAGGTATCCAGGTTCTGCGCAGCGGCAGTATAGATCTGTCAACATCGGATAGGAAGCTAGCTGAAA